TATAAATATTCTATAATGTAGGATGACCTCTCTATAAATAATCTATAGTGTATAATGACCTCTCTATAAATAATCTATAGTTTATGATGACCTCTCTATAAATAATCTATAGTTTAGGATTATCTCTATAAATAATCTATAGTTTAGGATGACCTCTCTATAAATATTCTATATTGTAGGATTACCTCTCTATAAATAATCTATAGTGTAGGATTATCTCTCTATAAATATTCTATAGTGTAGGATGACCTCTCTATAAATATTCTATAGTGTAGGATTACCTCTCTATAAATATTCTATGTTGTAGGATTATCTCTATAAATATTCTATAGTGTAGGATGACCTCTCTATAAATAATCTATAGTGTAGGATGACCTCTCTATAAATATTCTGTACTGTAGGATGACCTCTCTATAAATATTCTATAATGTAGGATGACCTAGCTATAAATAATCTATAGTGTAGGATGACCTCTCTATATAAATAATCTATAGTGTAGGATGACCTCTCTCTATAAATAATCTATAGTGTAGGATGACCTCTCTCTATAAATAATCTATAGTGTAGGATGATCAATTAATACTGATGCTATGATATAGGGTAACCTCTATAGACTGGGTCTGTATTCTAGGGTGATCATTCTATACAGGTGTGGATATACAGGTTGAAAGCACAACATGTTTTATATTTTCTACAGTATAGGGTGACATCTATACATAAGTTCTATAATGTACGGTTGCCTCCATGTACAGGAATGTCTCTGCAGGTTTTGAAACATAAGACAACCCCTATATTCTATAATGTAGGATGACCTTTGCAAACAAATGTGACAGTGCAAGTTTTATATTTCACAGTGACCTGTAGATACAAGTGTGACTGTACATGTTCTATAATGTAGGAAAGCCTCCATAAACAAATGTGACTACATGGTCTATCATGAAGGGTGATCTCTATATACAGGTTCAATAGCTCTAAGAGACCTCTTAATACAGGTTAAATTGTATATAGATTGCAGAATGTAGAATATAGAGAGGTTACTGTAGTGTAGGTTCTAATATGTATGATCTTACCTTTATATACAGGTGTAAATGGATGTTGTGGAGGGCAGGCTAACCTCTAGATATAGGTGTAATTGTACAAATTCCAAGATGACCTCTACATACAAATGTGATTGTACAGGTTTTGTAGTGTATGATGACCACATAATTTACAATACCAGTTTTGGGGTGTATGATGACCTCTTCATAAGATGACTATACAGGGTTGACAGTGAAGGGTGACCAGTTTATTGGTGTGAATACATTTTCTGTGGTCAAGGATGACCTCTATATAAGGTGACTGTACAGGGTTGACAGTGTGGGGTGACCTCTGTTTACTGGTGTGACTACATTTTCTGTTGAATTGGATGACCTCTAGATAAGGTGACTACATTGTATTGACAGTGAAGGGTGACCTGTTTAATTGGTGTGACTACATTTTCTCTGGTCTAGGATTAATTCTCTATATAAAGGTGACTGTACAGGGTTGACAGTGAAGGGTGACCGGTTTATTGGTGTGAATACATTTTCTGTGGTCTAGGATGACCTCTATATAAGGTGACTGTACAGGGTTGACAGTGTGGGGTGACCTCTGTTTACTGGTGTGAATACATTTTCTGTGGTCTAGGATGACCTCTATATAAGGTGACTGTACAGGGTTGACAGTGTAGGGTGACCTCTGTTTACTGGTGTGACTACATTTTCTGTGGTCTAGGATGACCTCTATATAAGGTGACTGTACAGGGTTGACAGTGTAGGGTGACCTCTGTTTACTGGTGTGACTACATTTTCTGTGGTCTAGGATGACCTCTATATAAAGGTGACTGTACAGGGTTGACAGTGTGGGGTGACCTCTGTTTACTGGTGTGAATACATTTTCTGTGGTCTAGGATGACCTCTATATAAAGGTGACTGTACAGGGTTGACAGTGTAGGGTGACCTCTGTTTACTGGTGTGAATACATTTTCTGTGGTCTAGGATGACCTCTATATAAGGTGACTGTACAGGGTTGACAGTGTAGGGTGACCTCTGTTTACTGGTGTGAATACATTTTCTGTGGTCTAGGATGACCTCTATATAAAGGTGACTGTACAGGGTTGACAGTGTGGGGTGACCTCTGTTTACTGGTGTGAATACATTTTCTGTGGTCTAGGATGACCTCTATATAAGGTGACTGTACAGGGTTGACAGTGTGGGGTGACCTCTGTTTACTGGTGTGAATACATTTTCTGTGGTCTAGGATGACCTCTATATAAGGTGACTGTACAGGGTTGACAGTGTGTGGCGACCTCTGTTTACTTGTGTGACTACATTTTCTGTGGTCTAGGATGACCTCTATATAAGGTGACTGTACAGGGTTGACAGTGTGGGGTGACCTCTGTTCACTGGTGTGACTACATTTTCTGTGGTCTAGGATGACCTCTATGTAAAGGTGACTGTACAGGGTTGACAGTGTGGGGTGACCTGTTTACTTGTGTAACAGTATAAATCAGTGGTGTACATTGACCTATATTTTAAGATGAGATTCTGTACAGTCTGGAGTGAGACCCCTACATACAGATGACAGTCAATGTTACTTGGTTAATACTGACATGTAAATAGAGGATAATATTTGTTTATTTGATGAATAAACTTTTACTTCATTGAGTATGGTGGAAATGTTTACATTTCAAACAACTGTCCAGCAAAATTCTTAATATGTTGTATAAATTTCATCTATTACACTATTCCTCTCCTTTTATTGATGCCAGTTGTCCGAGTTCAATCTATTTGAATGCTCCATTATCATTATTCTGATGGATAAGTGGTTTCATATCTTAGACTCAATAAAGTTAAACACATAATAATTAAATACAGATTCGCCAAGAACCATACAAAAATGTTTCTTACCATTTTATAGGGCTGTTTTTTCACAGTCTCTACCAGAGTTGTTCTTGAAGTCTACCATAATGCACTTTTGGAGACATTGATACCATCCCACCAAACCAAAAATTAATAGCATGTAATTCAGGTCCAAGGGCAGTTTATGTATAAATCTTAAAAATACTCAATACAGTGAATCTCAAATTCAAACTTTCTGATCAAGCCCAAAATAAATAATTTTGATTAATTTCTTGGTTCCAAAATAAATAATGCATAAATAGGGTCAAAGTGCAGCCTAGATATAAAATTTATGAATGATCTATCCAGTTCCAACAAAATATAAATGACAAAATCCAATGTTCAAACCAGTCACCAAAATGGGCAATGAACTCAGTTGGGACCAAGGACAATCTATATATAAATTTGTGAATAAACCACACAATACATCTCATGAATTAGCAAACGGCTAAAGATTCTAGAGAGATCTTGGCAGCAATTCTTTATTCTTTATTTTTGGGAAACAGTTTGATATAATTATATGAAAAATGGGCACAACTAGGTCCAAGGGAAACCTATGAAAGAGATGTCTTGATGTCCATTTGACTTTCAACTGTCTTTAAAAGTTGCATCTATTTCCTCCTCTGTTTTTACTTTTGATTAAATCTCAAATTTGAACATTCCTGTAAATAAATAGGAATAATAATCTTTCACAGCCAAGTCAAAGTCAGTCATCTTGTTGGCAAATATGTTTTTCTAATCAGTCCCAAATCAAAAGTTCTCATAGAGGGACCATAAGGAACCTATATACAAAATTTGAAAAAGATCCATCCAGTACTCCTCGAGAAAAAGTGATAACAATATGTCATCCTCAAAGTCAAAGAAGCTGTCTGTCGCTATTTTGATAACCTTCACATGAAATTTGATGAAGATTTATCTAGTAATTTTTACAAACAGATGGACTATTGACCACTGACAATGGTGGTCTGAAAATAACCATAACAAACAAAGAATTTAAGTCAAAATCCAAAATGGCTGCATATCAGCCATTCTGATGACAACTAGGAACAAAGGACTATCTACAGATGAAACTTGTGAATGATCCGTCTAAAATTTTTTATAGATTAGCAATAATGAGAATTGTTAAAAGACTGAGAGATGGCAGACAGAACATCGACAAGACCACCATTAAAAGATGATTTAAAATTTCATAATTTGCTTTCTCTTACCGTGAAAACATCATTGATATTTTCACCATAGACCTTTTCTTTCACAGTGGAAAATGTAATGTTTTTGCTAAATAATGACTTTTTTTCAGTGCAGTGACTGTACAGGTTTAGGTGTTTAATTACCCTTTATATAGTTCTGCCATAGATCTGTGCTTATATACACCAATTCTATATACCATACAGATCCTTGTCATATTTGAGACCAGTATATTTATGAATAGACAAAAAATTAAAAACCTAAATCAAGTCTCTTAAAACTTCAAACTTGACCTAGTTTACACCAATTACCACAAACCCTTATCACTAATAGTTATCACTCTAACAACTAACACCAGAAAAATCACTGGGAAAACCTGTTTGTCATTTGTTCTCATAACTTATCATGTCCAAACAGGAAACAACCCTTGGTCGGCAAGGTGAAAACAGAGTGCTTTTCTCTAGGAAACTTCAGATTGCTAAAAAAATTATCATGAATCAAATGTATTTGTAGATATTAATTTCCTTGTCTCCTGAAACACTCAAAATATAACTGAGCTGCCAGAGTAAGCATGAAATCAGTTAAAAACGAAACAAGTCAAAAGTGGAACCAAGCCACTGCTAACAAGCACCCTCATTAATGATGTATGATATATAACTTGTTTATTCCAAGTCTGAAGTATATTCAAGCTTCTATAGTTACAGCAGGCCATGACTTCACCGAGTCTCCAATAAGGTTGTTATTTCTAGTCACATCTGTCCTCAAAATTATACAGCTGGATTAATCTATTTCAATGTCCGTCCAAACACTTGCCAAAGGAGATAATTTTCTGAATTTGACGTTTCTTTCTCTTCTTAGTTAATGTACAAACATCAATGAAATTGACAACAAAAAGAGAAATGTTGACATGGATTTAATGTGGATTCATGAATTATCACACAAACAAGGAAACACAATCATCAGAATTAAAGGGCAGAGTAAGCGAAACATCAAACCAGGAAATCCTGACAGAACACAACCAGTTAGTCAGGAAAATAAGTTTTTAGGACCATTGTTCATAGTAAACCACGTATATTAAAATACTCTTAATATGGAGATTTAAAAGACTGAATATACATGGCACTTCTTATTACTAGTTTAATGCAAAAAGAGATTCTATTAATCCTACTTTTATACATAAAAATCACGATAGAATGTTATCTTTAAAACAACCAACAAAATTAAGAAAGAAGAAAAGAGGAAACAAAAACACTGAGGTGTGGTAGGTATAACATCCCACGACATGGACAATTTCCTCCTTTTCATGTTAACAATATTGGCAGTTAAAGCATTCTTTAAACCTGAAGGAACATACACATTTAGAGGTTTGCTCAAAGAATGATTAAAAACAGTGAATGTCACTATTATTCTATTATCTATAGCACTATCAAACTTCTGTATCTTTTCTTTGATAGATGTATCATCAGCTATGTATATGTAATGTATGGGGTTTACACTCAAGAATGAATCACATTTCAGAATTTTCAATAATTAACAAGAAATCCATAAAGCTAAAATCTATTTGGATGCTTTCTTGCTAGTACTGGCAGTCTAATTCTTACATAGTAAAATGTTTACATTTAGCTTAACAATGTACCGGATTCAATGTTTAGATAAAACATAGAAAATGAGAAAAAAAAGCTATATACACAAATACAAATGTACAAAAAGAGACCGGAACTAGACTAGCTTCAAAGTCTTTCAAAAGAACAACTAATATGTCACAAATACATGTTGTTATTCAAATAATTAAAACCCATCCACTGAATCACAGTATGGAAATGAAATGTATGCTTATTTTTAAATTAGAAATTAGAATTCAACAGATACATGTACACGCTCAATGCCAAACGGTTGTATTGAAATGTTCCATAACACAATACTAAGCCTTCTTCAAATGTTAAATTACTTTTTTAATACATTTGCATTTTACTATACAAAATATCACCTTCAGGTAAAACAAGCTGTGCTAAAGGGACAAACATGTACAGATAAACATGTGATCATTACACTGGCATAGATGACCTCCAGAAAAATCAGTTACATAAACAGTAACTGGCTAGCCATTTAATGCTTGCTCAGGAATAGCCAGTCTCATTACAGTATTTGCCACATAGTTTCAGAATACACATCCCTATGAGTCTTCACAAAAATCTTGTCACCAACTTGACAGTAGATTTTTGTCCTTCTCTGTTGGACCAGGGGAGATTACTCACAACAGGCTTCAGTAAAGTCCATAAATAAGATATATGATTGATGTTGAGGTGAGAGCCTACTCCGATAGTTTATATAACATCTCAGTTGCTTTTTAAATACAAGGAGACAGGACAGATTACAATCTATATATCTATTTTTCTTCACACCATTCATTTTCCTTTCGTACCTGAAATAGCAAAAAAATAAAGAATTAAATGCAATAACTGCAGCCTGTAACTTACACATTCAAATTTACTCAGTATAAGACATGTTATAGTTTTATTTTAAAGTTTTGATAAATCAATGTACATAGCTAAAGCACAATCACAAACACAAGGTTTAATAGAAAGGAAGTAACTTTACATATTTTCTTACAACACAAGCAGTCCAGAAATGATGAAATACTCTAAAACTCCAGATACAAGTATCATACTTACTTTAGATATAAGATTGATAATTAATCAATGGCTAATCATGATTTTGGAACCAATTCTCCCAACAATCAATCAAAAACAAGAATGACCCAGCATTATGTCTAGCTGAGTATGGTGATTTAAGCAGAAATACACTAAATTTGCCCCCCTCCCCCTTAAATTTTAAAGTTAATTATAATTAATCATTATTATATGTAAACATCACAGATATTTTGTCAATATATTTGATTATTGATTGGTTTAAAGACATGAAATAAAAATGTTGTAAATTCTTAAATTCACAGAATATATTCAAATATAGCAATTTTACAAAATAAATACCATTCTTCTTGAGGAGGTTAGAGGGAAAACTTATCTGATATTTTACTGTTCGTGTTTTAATATAAACTAAATATGAAGTGAATAGAAAAAAGCATAAAGTCTTTGTAGTGATTTAACAAAAGTTCAGAATACATCCGTGATAAGAACTTGTTCTTGTCTTACTTAGAGACTTAGCTAAGCTAAACATAGAAAACTGGGTGTCCCACATTTTAATTTTCAGAATTGCCTGAACTGTAAATTAGGGAAGACTTTTTGCAGATGATGAATGTGTCCTCAATGAAATCTAGCTATATCAAAATGATTTAAGTTGGATTTTTTTTTTAGCAATGAATCTTATAAAATGTTGATGTTGCTCTCATCGGAAAAGTGACGACATAGTCTTGCTTTTATGACTTTTCATCGCTGATAAAACAACTAGAATGAACACAACCTTAATTTGTTACACTGTAGACTTTTTCATATTGAGTACAAAATGGAAAATTACCCATCATATTTGGACCCCTCTTATGAATAAACAATTCTATAAAACCACTGAATTTCCATTTTGCAGGCCATGACGCTATTTTCAGGTGAAATACTGATTTCCATATTCTACACTATCAAAACATACATGTAAATAAATCTAACCTGTTCTTCCTCTGCTGGCGTGAAATCATTCTTGATATTAAATGTTTTTCTTATTTCCTCTGGTGATTTGCCTTTGATCATGTTGGCTACAGTCTTACATGTGACATCCAGTAAACCTTTGATATCCAGATAGTTGGCTGCCTGCATTACAAATAAAACATTTCATGTCATACTACTGTTAAAATTCAGGAATCAGAATACAATGAGATATTATTCTAAAAAAGCAGAAATAAGCAAATAGTCTATACATAAATTTTAAATCGTCACACTCCAGGTGATACTGATGGTAAATATATATTTTTTATGGTTTAGACACAATTACTATAGACTATACTCTTGCCTATAGAGATTATGTCAACATTGCTGAAATTGTAGAGTTAGAAATGTTCATGAATTTTATAATCATGCTTCATTGTTTTTCAGTTTGAATGCAGCAACTAGTAATTGTAAATGTTGTGATACAAGAGATAATTTTTGTAGTATTAAGTTTGTTACATGGGCAGATGGGGCCACAATGGATTCTGGTGTTAATAGCTAGCTCATTTAATGGATTAGAGAATTCCAATGACAGTATTGATTCGTCGAGGCGTGTTACTGAACTGTGTCCATTTTGTATTTGATAAGTTTTGTTCTAATGATAAAATTGTAAATAAAGGTTGTTGTTCGTGCCATTAGAGGTCTAAATATAAAGTAAAGGAACCAGATAAACCCTGCTTTGATAATGAATGTAAATTTTCACATAAAGTGTATAAAGAAGCTTTCTTTTCTTTTCTTTCAATAGATGTAGATCTTCAGAAAATAATGAAATTGGGATTCCCTTTGAGAACAAAGGCCGTCAGAGAAGGGTTATACTCCCTGAATGGGACAAAATTTAAGTAAGAGAGATCTATCTATGTATGAAGTTTCATATTGATACCTCTCATAGTTTAATGTAATGCTGCAGACAAAATTTATGTATGAAAAATAGCAAAGGGCAATTACTCTTAAATCATGCAAAAAAGAGTTATGATTCTTGTGCACTGCACTTCTCTTATAAAGTTTCATCTTGATTGTAGTTTTAGTGTAAGATGAAAAATGACAGTGCAATAACACCTAATTTATGTAAAAGATAGTGATGGTTCTGGTGCACTGCACTTCCACTTGTTGAGATCTATCTACTTATTAAGTTTTTTGTTGATTTTTTTTTGTGTAATGCTCTGATCTTGATTATGACAGAAAGACATTGTTCAAAGTCTATATTGTATAAAAATAGAGTAGACCAGGTTGTTTTACAGTCATACCTAAACAAGGTACTGTCTTTAAAAATAAAAAGCATTCTTATTTAATATAGGTTGGATGTGAATGCATTGAATATTGAGACTGGAAGATATCAAGGCATCAAATATTATGCGGTTTATGTGACAGAAATGAAGTCGAAGTTGAAAGTAATTTTGTATTATTATGTCCAACATATTCAGAGTATTATAGATCAAACCATTCTTTCACTGTCCACCATCTGTATTCAAAATGGTTGAACTGTTTACTAACAGTAATGTAGAATCTCTTCATAATTTTGACAGGTATCTAATCCATGCTACATCTTAGAGAAAGTTATTACTAAATGCATAAATAATCTGTTCTTATATGTTATATAAATCACTTAATGTATCTTTTGATCTTTAGATATTATACGGCTGTTAAATGAATGCAAAAGTATGAGTTCTTTTCATAAGTAAACCTTAAAAAGTCATGATTTAGCTAATTAACAACATTTTCTTAACCTTAGTAATAATATTATCAATAACTAACCAGAATTAATTCAAATAGTGTTCCTTGATCAACTTTGAGGAATTCTGCATCCCATGAACAGATATCATCTGTACGTTTTTCTTTGTTCTCATCATCCTCTGGTGGTGGTGGGTCGTCCTTATGATATGTACACCACTGTACTACCTTCTTTAGGATTGCTGCATTAACATTTGGGAGAGGGACTGGCTCTTCATCATCCTCATCAACACCCAAGTCTGTAACATAACATTGTTGCTATGTATTGGTGAAATCAGGGTATGTACATACAAGAGTTAAAAATATGAGTTCCCTTAAAACAATGATGATCTTTATGTGTATCAAGCTTCCAATAAAATAACTGGTCACTTTCTATTGCAGTATTATTTGTACACAAAATTTATCCACTGCACATATCACTTGATAAAGAATGTTAACCAATCTTACATTTTACAAGGTCACTTTGAAAGAGAACAGATTGCAGTACCTTCCAACATTGTCTTGATGGTGACAGATTGCCTAGCAATATCAACTTCTATCTCAAATATATCTCCATCAGAACTCTGTAACTTGATGTTCGGCATCTGAAAATTAAGTGTTACAAAATACATCATATCAGTTAAACTGTTTTTACTGCCTTCATAACGACACATAAAATGTAAATGTGCAGTGCATTATCAAGTGTCCAGTCCAATGGTATTGATATTGATGTGAAAATTGAGTATGATGAAATAGCACATAGCAATATATAAGTCATACTTAAGTACAAATACATGTAATACTAAAACAAGTACTTATTGTAATGGGGACCATTACAAATGTCCCCTAACGACTCCTTCAGCAGTAAATGATCACAATAATCAGACCTGCAGTCATGCCAAACATAGACTACACCATTTTGCTCCTATAGTGCCACCTCATACATATATACCAATTTTCACGAAAATCGGACAATATTTAAATTTTGACCACAGCTGACCGCTCAGATGACTGATAGATGGCCGATTGAAAAATGGACTACGCCATTTTGCTCCTATAGTGCCTCCTAATACATATATACCAATTTTCACGAAAATCAGACGATATCTAAAATTTGGCCAAATTTTGACCACAGCTGACCGCTCAGATGACTGATAGATGGCCGATTGAAAAATGGACTACGCCATTTTGCTCCTATAGTGCCATCTAGTACATATATACCAATTTTCAGGAATATCAGACAATATCTAAAATTTGGTCAAATTTTGACCACAGCTGACCACTCAGATGAGCGATTGGAAAAAATCAAGTGGCCAGCACTCTGCCTCGCATGTATGAATATGTGTGTAAAGTTTTGTTAAATTCCATGCAATCATTTTTGAGAAATGCGTCAGAAACCTCAGTGGCGGAAGAAAGTGGAAGAAATAAGAATAATAAAAATAATAATAATGATCAGAAGAAATGGAGCAAACACACTAAGTCCCCCACTTCGTTTGGGAAACATAATCATGATAATACTAAATTGAAAAATAAATTGTAGATTTTTTCAATTTTATTGTTAAAGACAATGGATGCCACAATGTAAAATTTGAGTATTTCCAGAAATTCTATGAATCCCATCAAAATCATTTGAGTACGGGACACAGAACTGGCATGTAGATTTATCACGTGTACTTCAGTTACATGTACATGAGGAGACCACTTTGTGAAGTATCAAAATTTGGACTATCTGCAAAGCTACAATCCATTCATCAGCAAGTATCGTGCGCTGATTTATTCTTTATAACTTGTGAGTTACCATTTTTTAGTAAGAAATAGCATGCATATGCTCCTACCATTTCGACAGGGTTTCTACAATATCAGAACTAAAGAAATACAAATAGTGAATAAATCAGCATTGAGGACTTGTCCATTATTATTTGTGAAAATAAAGGCATTTTTTTTCTTGGCAATAACAGAAAAGTAATATAATAACAATACGTATGTATGGAGAAATCAGTAAATTACATGTAGTCATCATCTCCAGCAGATCACTGACGTTTTCGTAATTCCTGAGCAAGCTGACAGAGGTAATAACACAAAATCGCTATATTCTTATTATGTATCATTCCAAAGGTTTTAACCATTAGATCTTGTGATAAAATTAATCGTTTTCAGTTCAGAAACATCCAATCCAATTTGGTTGATCTTGTCAACAAAATAATCCGCCATTTTGTTGGCAAGAGGGCACACGTTTCGTCAGAGCTTAAAGAGCATTTGGACTCTAATTCGAAAAGTGATATGATTTCTATTGAAACACGTTTGCTAGGATATGTTATAGTTCATTAGTGTCCGTCAATTTCGATCGCAATTTCAAACAATTTTTACCTTCTATAATTTTCTTGGTAGAATCAGAGACGTATAATGGTAGAATCTACCTCTTCTCTTTTTGTGACGAATAGTACGTACACCTATCGGCGATTCAATGTTCACAACAAGATAGATAACTCTTGCCATAATATCTGTCATCGCTTACAACGTGGTTTAGGGGCATGACGATTCGTAATGTCTATTATTAACAACGTTTTTATACGCCCGTCGAAAGACGGACGTATTATGGTATGGTGCTGTCCGTCCGTCCGGCGTCCGTCGTAAACTTTTATTTGTCCGGAGATCTCCTCCAACATTTTTCAGCCGATCTCTATGAAACTTGGTATGCTTAATCACCATGATATGAAATTGTCTTTTCCTGAACGGGGTTTTGATTTGGTGATTTGAACAACAAGTGTTATGACCCTTTGTTTATTTCACTATAGAAATCTTGTCCGGAGACCTCCAACATTTTTCAGCCGATCTTTATGAAACTTGGTAGGCTTAATCACCATGATATAAAATTGTGTTTTCCTGAACGAGGTTTTGATAAGACTATTTGAATAAGAGTTATGCCCCTTTGCTGTTTTGGCTATTCACGGGCGTATTTTGTTCCGCTTTGCGGTACTCTTGTTTTTCTTCGCTCCGCATGCTTTATAAAACTTTAAAAAAAAAATTTTATCAACTGTCATTTACAAAATCCAATTCAGATAATGATTGTATGCAGAAGACTTTTTAATGATGGCAAATACTAAGCAATATCAGAGACGTGTAGTTAGTTATGGTTAGTTACGGTTGTATTCTGACACAGGTCCTTTCATGGGTCCTCTTCGTCAGACTCGTATTTTTCTTTATAAGTGTGACTTCTAGTTGATGTTTGGTCAAAGTCCGCTTTATAGTCATCTAAAAACATCCTAGTCCTTCCAGAACTCATCAAGCCTGTTTTTGAAAGTGTTGGTGTTTTCGGCTCTCACTACCCCCTCAGGCAGACTGTTCCAAAGGTTAGCTACTCGTACACTGAAGCTGGATTTCCTAACATTTAGTCTAGAATGCTGGGCATAAATTTTCATGGAGTTCCCTCTCCCCTAGGATCTTGTCGCATTGTCCTTCCGTAACTTGGTGAAATCAGCTACCTTTTTGTCCTATTTCCCACTTAAAAATTTAAAAACCTCTATCATGTCACCTCTGTGGCGTCTGTATTTCAGTGTTGGTAGTTTTAGTTTTTTCAACCTTTGATCAAATGTTAGCCCCTTTTCTTTGCACCCCTTCTGTTCATTCAGATTGTTGTGTCTTGGATGGGAACCACACTGAGCTAGCGTAGTCTAAATGTGTTCTCACCAATTTCTTGTAGAGTGGAACATATATGGCAGCATTCACAAAAACATTATATGCTTATCTAAGCAAAATACAAACAGAGACTTGCCCTATTATCAATAGTACAGAATCGCTGAATTTCACCAGGGACGTGTATAACATATTGTATTATACGTCCCTGATTTCACTTAATATGAACACTGATCCATGTTGGATATCTGTGGCTCCGTGATATCGTACTGAATGAAGTACAGGTAAAATAACACACCGTAAATGAGAACATTGAATGTTTGAACGTGTTACTGTTTATGGGTTCTTTTATGTCCTTGGGGGAAAGTTAAAGAAATACCATGATAATAGTTGTTCTATATTTCGTTACAAAATCCTGTGCCTTGTCCCCTTGCTGTATTGTTAATCAAATATGTTTGGATAAAATGAATGACAATGCCAAACCACACAGAGCCCACCAAGTACATAGCCATCTTCAACATGAAGTGACAGAGACGCCCCTATGGCCTGCAAGGTCACCATACACGAACCCAACTGAGCATATCTCGGACTAAACGTCAGTGCACGATATCCAATTTGCCAACCAATTGGAAATTAGGGGCTGCATTGATTCTGGAGTGCCAGAGTTTACCACGAAACAAGCTTAATTCGGCGTTTGGACACTGGGCACAAGAACTGTACCAAGAGCATGTGACTATACCCGATGATGAAAGTTTTATACCAGTTTGATCAGTTAATCTTCTTAAACAATTAACTGGTTTTGGCGATTTGCTGACATATTAATTAGAGACAGTTTATGTCAAACTGTTGGAAAATGGAAATGAGCTTGACTTAAAAAAAAGGCAAGAAGCAGCGGTCCTGCTATAATGAAACATTGAAATATTATCATGTTCATTTATAAGAACAGAACCAAGATCAGCGAAGTTTCGGCCGCTCATAATTGGTTTAAATAAGAACAGAGAATTGAAAGAAATGCAAAATGTCGCATTTCTGAAAATATCACCGGCAAACGCTATGCTTGTAATTCTGCTGTTTTCTCGACTGTTTTTCTCGTCCAGACCGACTGTTAAAATGTCATGACAACGTCAGAATAATAAGGACTACAATGAACGGAAAGACAATAGTCAGTTTAAACCATTGTTATAAAGATGTAAGTTTTCGATATGCTCTTATCAGTAATTGTACCTCACCATCACCGCAATCACAGTTTGAAATAAAACGTTTGATAGCGTCATTTTTGATGTTTCGGTTTTTTCCCTTCATTTTGATAGCGTCATTTTTGATGTTTCGGTTTTTTTCCCTTCATTTTGATAGCGTCATTTTGGATGTTTCGGTTTTTTCCCTTCATTTCGCTGAATTGGATTTTCGTAAAGAAAAAAAAAAAAATCAAAAGCAGCACTTTGGACTTTAGTTAAAGAGCTGGCCACGGTTGTTTAAAGGCTGGTATGTGATAACCAGTATTTCCGATATGAATTGAAGAAAATCGGAAAGATTCTTTATCATTTCACAACTGTTGGTTTGTTGAGACAAGGCAGAGTGATTTATTTGAGTGTCAGTTTTGTATTGAATATTCTTGTTTGTTTAGTTGTAGCGATTTGAGATTTTTCACTGACAACTGGACTGGTTAACTTCCATATTACAATCATCGTATAGAAAATGTCAATTTATACGTTATAATTAGTATGTTTCGAGACAACCATAATAATCAAATATCAAAATATTTACAAACATGCATTTTCAGGCATCTGAAACAGCAAGGGAAAGTAGAAAAATACAAATCCCTCTATCATACGTTTCTGATTTTACCTGGAATAGTTGACTATCAAGACTTGGTTAAAAGAAGATTTAACTATGCTGGCGGGCTAGTTTCTAGTACCCTGTAAATCATTACATTGGATTATTTTTTGTGAAATGTTATTTTTTTGTGAGTGTGAGGTCATTTTTAGACTTGAGTTGTCCACATCCAAAATTACTACATATATATAGCAACATCAGGATTAATCTTGAATTTGAACATGTATAAATTAGTACCAATGATAAGAACCTTCGGAAATAGTGACAGTTTATCTGCAAAAATCTAATACGACTATAATAATAATAAATATAATAATAATAATTGACTTTATTTAAGAGTCGATAACACTTTGAGTACAAGACCCTTCTAACAAGTGGTCGACGGTAAAATGTACAATATATACAACATTAAGATTACAGCATCACATATGATATAAAAATCACAAATATCGAAGTAAACTAGCATAATCATGAAGGACTAAGATGTACATCAATAAAACAAATGTAATGATAGTGAAGAGGTATATAAAACGGTTATAGAGTGATTAATAATATAATAAAAGGACTAAATTAGCGAGGTTTTGTAAGGGATACAGGACTGATAATTAAAACAATTAATTGGTAACATTCATAAAGGTACCATATTATCTTAGGGCTAAAATAAGACTGGCATAAAAATGTGGATCTAGGTTAGTAAATTGGAGATGAATTTTTTACAATAAAATTTAAAAGTTGGTAAGGTTCCACGTTGTCTGATATTTTCTGGAAGCTGATTCCACAAAGTTGGTCCAGTATATAGGAAGGAATTTCTAAACTTTTCAGTTTTGTGTTTAGGTATGATATAGTTACCAGCAGTAGATACTCTAGCTTGTCTACTGTGTACACTGAACACAAGCACATTACAGTCCAAGTAGTTAGGACACAGTTTGTTAGCTACTTTAAACATTAGTATACATTCATTGTAGTTCACTCTTTTGCTAAAAGGTAACCATTTGAGTTCGGTGAATAGTTCCCCTGATACAGAGTAGTCAGCATCCATAATTATACGTAAAACTCTTTTCTGTAATCTCTCTAGTTTTTTAATATGTGTCTGAGAACAATGTCCCCAAATATTTGAACAATAATCTAGGTAAGGTAGAATGAAACAGTTAAAATAGGTGATTCTTGATGAAACAGGTAAGAACTTTTTAATTCTGCATAACTGATATATTTTGAAATTGACCTTTTTGATGACATCCTGGACATGTTCCAAGTAAGGGTATCATCAATACACACACCTAGGAATTTTTCATGTTTAACATTTTCCAACGTAAGATCACCAGAATCAGTACATTCAATACATAATTCCTTTGATTTTTTTGTTTTTTTTTCTGTTTACTGCCTACAAGCATAACTTTGGCTTTGTCTGTATTTATAATCATTTTGTTTGTTTTACACCAGTTTTTCACATTTACAAAGTCAGTGCGCAAACATGGGGTACACCAGTTGTAATTTCACAGGGATTACTTAAACTATTTTTGAAGGAAACAATCTGTAGGCGTTTTGATAAACAGGATGTAAAAAAAAATATGGCACTGTCTGAACATCCATATAATTTCATTTTTTGTAGAAGAATTTTGTGATCAACAATATCAAAGGCTTTTCTAAAATCAATATATATAACAACAATAAGCTTGCCTTTGTCCATTTCTTTGTACCATCTATTTGTCAAGGCTGTTAGAGCAGTCTGACAAGAACGTTTACATCTAAAGCCAGACTGATTTTCAATGAGTAGATTATGTTGGTTTAAAAATCATATAAAGACTAGTGTACATGTTTTTCTAAGATGTTTGATAAAACAGGTAAGATAGATATGGGTCTATAGTTACTAACCAAGCTTTTCTCACCCTTTTTGAAAATTGGATTTACTTTGGCATGTTTGAAATTATCAGGGAACAAATTTTGATTAATACACATGTTTAGTTAAGTAGTAATAGACT